TATTAAAAATTTCGCAGAATATTTACGATTGTGGAAATTCCGGTCTTGTGTGTCGTATGTTCAATATTCGCGGTGATATTACATGTTCGAGTTGATGGTGTATCTCGAATGTCTGAAGATACTTTCTGATTCTTTCTTATCGCAGTGTAACCTGGACATATCGATGTTGATAAAGAATTCTATCGTTATTACGTCGCCATCTTAGATGAGAAACATTCGGGACATGAAACTGTTTCGCAGTTTCTTCTCGCGAATCCATTATTAGTACAGAATTCAATTACAAATGATGGCTAATATCATGTCTTCTGACCATCACCATTTAAACGAACAGGTCAGTAGATTCTGAGATATTTGTTATTGTTTTAAAGCACTTTAATGTCACTCTGGAATAGTCAGAATATTTTACAAGTATTGCTGCAAGAATCGATTGATATAATGCGGATATTCATCTTATCGAATGATCTGCAAGTTGAATCTCCAATAAACTCCATATTAACAAAAGGTTAGAGTTGTACAATAGACATTTTTTTTAAATTGCTCATATCGATTAAGCACTCAAGACAACAAACAACAAATTATTTATTTTACTTTAATAAAATTTAATAGGAAGCCACTATTTGCCATGCAAAATCATTGAAAATTGATCCCGCTACGAAAGCTAAAACAAAATATGACTGTACCACGTGATTTCTTAAAATATAAAAATTATGTAAAAATTATATATATTTTTAATTCGTTATCATGTGTTATTTTTTTTTTGTATTTGTTCATATATTTTTACATCATGAATATATCTTCTGTCAGAATTTATGGGATGTGGAGTTAACATTACTTATACGCCACTTAACACAGATTTTACAAATATATAAAAGTATATTTCCTTTGAAATAGAACATATCCCCATTACCCTGAGATTTTTTTAAAATCAAGATCATGTCCTACATTTAAATTCATTGAAAAAAATTCTTATCTTTTTATTGATATCGAACACCGTTATCTAACATGGGCTATATATATAAAATCATGACAAAAAAAATTTCATTTTGAAACATGAAAGAAAAATTGTTTGTGATTGTAGTAAATTGACTAAATAAATATGATTTTTTTATGAATGTAGTGAAACATGAAAGGTTTTGTGCAGCAATTTCAAAATGTTTTTATTATAATGTATTTTAATAAAAAATATAATATATAATATATTGATCCTCTTTGATGACCAAAAAAAATTAATAAATGCTACAAAACAGAATCTTTCCATCTTTTTCTTAATATATATATATATTATATATATATATATATATATATATATATATATAAATCGACTTTCCCGTCGAATTCGACGTATGAGGGTCAAGCAGATCAAATTCCCAGGAAACCGACAGCCCGACAACAGCACATTTGATTTTATTATAGTGGTGAAGGCTTCGTGCAGGACCATCCAAACTTTTTGAACAGCCGAATACATAGACCTGGTGCATTAAAACCACAAGGTTCCCAAACGACCCTCCGCAGGTTTTGAATTCAGAGTTGTCCTTCTCCTAGACCAGTTGCCATCCAAGGCTATAAGGATATGACAGATTTGAAAATAATTTGTCGTTGGAATTGTTCAATGTACATTTCAACCAGAAAGAATTATTCAATTTTTAAGATCACCCATGAAGGATTTTTTGTACCCCAAAATTGTTGTTTTCACAGTCTTTTCGGCCGGTGGTCTGGGCCCAAAATTTTTTTTATGAACAAAAGTTCGAACCTAAATAGTGTAAATAATGATAATTCCATAGCCTAGAAATTCATTTATTCTTATCTATCTATCTATCTATCTATCTTTCTCTATCTATCTATCTATCTATATATCTATAAATATCTTTTTTTCTGTTCATTTCTCTTTTTTAAATTAGTCTGTTCATATCTATCTGAAAAACTATCTATCTATCTATCTATCTATCTATCTATCTATCACTAGTGCATCTCTCCCTGACGACTTGTCTCCACTTGGACAGCTAGAAGTAACCTTAACTCTTCAGCTTATGTTTCTTGTATTTATACAGCCATCTGTGTTGCCAGAACACCCTAGAAATTCTCGAAAGTTCTTGAAACTTCTAAAAAGGTTTAGAAAAAATATCTCTATAAGCATCTCAATGCTTTCTCTGCCATATATAATGGACTATAAAATATATTAAGAAAAGCTCGATGTACATATCATAAAAACAAAGTTTTAAGGAACTTTTTGAGTCATTTTTTTTTTAATTCTCATAAATTATTAGGAAATAATTCTTATAGTTATAAAGACAAAAAAAAAAAAAAAATTGTTACAAATTTATTGATTTTTTATACTAAAAGGATATCGACCTCTTTCATATTCACAATATTTACATTTGGACTATTGATGATGATATTAGTCTGAATTTAAATAATGTAAATAATAATAACTCCTGTCTATTCATATCTATCTATACATGTCATTCTGTTTAAATGTATATTACCTTACTATTCACACACACACACAAACACACACACATATTTTTTTTTCTTTTAATACGTTATTTTTATAGATACAATTATATAAGTAAATGCTCTGTTTATAATAAAATATATCAATTACATTTACCGGCCTGAGTGCTCGAGAAATTTCGTAGGAAATATGTGTACTCCGACAGGAATCGAATCAGTAATTGATACGGGATTGCCTTTTTTTCTGACATGTTATACCACACAGCTACAGAGGAATATTGGTTTTCTTATATCCTCAGATTACTTTTTTTAACAACATGATTTCCCATGGTCTTTTTGTGTAAAAATTTTAGGTTCGATTCGTATTCCTATACACATATTTTTTATTTAATTTCTTAAAAAACATAACTATATACTGTTTATTATATATTGAAGAATCGAATTCCAGTCCAATCCATTACATTCACTTACGTGCCAATACCCTTGGGAAAGGTGCGAATCCTCTTCTTCTCCTTCCATCTATGGGTAAATAGCAGGACAGACTGGGTTCTGAAAAGTTCATAGGCTGAATATGAAGGAGCGATGATAGAGATATGAAATGTTGCATGTATTCATTTCAAAACTTCTTGTTAATATATATATATACTGTTTGTTTCCCAGTAGGATATAAAACGCTGAAAAGGTCAAAGGCTATCTGTGAAGGAATTTGTTAAAAATAAAATTTTGCATGTATTCATTTCAACACTTATTATTATTGCATTATTGTTTCCAGATAAAATAAAGATGGGCTGAAAAATTCATTCATAAGGCTGATTATGAAGGAATGATGGTATTTTTTAAAATCTTCAAATGCATTAATTTCAATTAAATCCTATTAATTACTTTGTTGTTTTTTTTCATATATGCGAAGGTGCTTTCAGGTTCATAGGCTGTCTAATGAAGGATGTTACTAAAAATGCAAAATTTGAATGTATTCATTTCAAAATATTCTTATTAATAACTGCATTAATTGCCCGTACGATATATGAGCTGAAAATTCAGATATATATACGGATGAATAAATATCAGGTCATCCCATAAGTTCTGTCCGAATTTTAACTTTTGTTAAAATGAACGAAATTTAAAGAGTTATTTTATTATAATGTCTAATGGAGCTGAACATTATTTTTATGTTTAGATGCGTTTAAACTGATCAAATTTTATTTCAGAGAACAATAAAATTAAATTTTGTTTGATTAAAACCCTGCTAACATGTAAGTACCCAAGAATCATTTGAGGCACATAATGCTTTATGAGTTCAAGAAAGGAAACTCAGCAGCCGAAGTGGCTAGAAACATTCACTCAGTTTATGGAGAGGAATGTGTGAATGAAAGAACTTGCAGAAGATGGTTTGCAAAATTCAGAGGTGGAGATTTCACCCTTGAAGATGAAGATCGAACCGGACGTCCAGTTGAGTTTGATGAAAAGCTTCTTGAAGCAGCCTTTGAAGAAAATCCTGCTTTATCTATCAAGGAATTGGCAGTGGTTCTCAGTTCAAACCATACAACTGTTCATCGTCATCTTCAACAACTTGGAAAAGTTCTAAACTTGGAAAATGGGTGCCTCATGAATTGTCTGAAAACAACCTCAAATCCCGAGTTGACATCTGCTCTTCTCTCCATTCTCGCCAACTTGTTTCACCTTTTTGGATAGACTTGTGACTGGCGACGAAAAAATGGATCTTTTATCGAAATGTTAAGCGTCGTAGACAGTGGCTTGGTAAAGGGGAAGGACCCCAGCCACAGCCGAGAATGGAACTTCATGGGCAAAAGGTTCTTCTTTCAATCTGGTGGGATCGCCAAAGAATAATCCACTTTGAATTCTTACCACCTAATGCAACAATTAATGCTCAAATATACTGTCAGCAATTAGAGCGTTTGAACCAAGCTTTGAGGAAAAAAAGACCTGCTCTAGTGAATCGAAAAGAGGTGATGTTTCATCAGGACAATGCGCGACCCCACACAGCAAGAATCACGTCACAAAAGATCGAAGAACTTGGTTGGGAGAAAATTCTTCATCCACCTTATTCTCCCGATCTTGCTCCTTCAGACTACCATTTGTTTCGTAGCTTACAGAATCATTTGGAAGAAACAGCTTTTGTAACACAGGAAGAGGTTAAAACTGACATTTGTGAGTTCTTCGAATCAAAGCCAAAAGAATTTTACAGTAATGGAATTAGTAATCTTGTTAATAGATGGAGGGAAGTCATAGATAATCAGGGAAAATACATCGTTGATTCAATCTGTAATTAAATGTAACATTTGGTCACTTGTTTTCTTTATTCAAAATTCGGACAGAACTTATGGGATGACCTGATAGATTTGTGAAATCTTGCATATATTCATTTCAACACTTCATATTAATAACTGCATTTCCAGGTATGAGGGTAGGCTGAAAAGTTCATAGGCTGACTAGTAAAGAGTCATGTCAGAACTTTGAAATCTTGCAAGTATTCATTTGAACTCCCTTTTTTAATAACTGCATTGTTTGTTTCCAGGTACAAGAATGGG